CAAGAAAAGTGTGCGCAAAGTGGTGCAGGATTTTGTCCATCAACAGTATAAAAAACACTGTGTTTTATAGGGCTTATTGCGCATATCGAAATACGACGCAGGGAAAAGGAAGAAATGCAAAAATGCTGTGTTTTTCAAGGGTGGTGTCGGTAATGCGCGCCGGGCGGACAGGCTTAATCGACATTTTGTGGGTAGAGGCCCTCCAGACGACTTACATTGCCTAACATATCCTCAACATAGGCCCAAGATAGCCAACATATCCCCAACATATGCCCAACATAGCCTCCAAGATGGCTCAACATAGGGCCAACATAGGCCAACATGGGGCCAACATAGGCCCAACATAGGCCCAACCCAGGCCAACATAGGCCAGCATGGGCCTAACATAGGCCAACATAGGCCCAACATAGGCTCAACATGGGCTCCAGATGTGCCCAACATAGACCACATGGGCCCCACTTGGCCCAACCTAGGGCCAAGATGCGCACCAGATAGCTTAACTTTGCTCCATATAGGGCCCTCGTCTCCGACGCGGACCAGTTTCCGGCGCCACCAGGGCCCAGTATGCCCCCGATAGCATAACGTGCACCCGACCCAGCCCTACACACTGGGCCGGCGCCCGGCTGTTAGGCGTAAGCCTTTAAATAAGTTTGAGAGCGACAAAGCAGACAGAAGAGACAAGAGGGGACCCACCTAGTGAGGATACTTTTGAACAGGTTCCCGATTGGCGGAAGAATGCGTCTGAATTCGAATCTCTTCCGTGAAAGGTTTCTTCTAAAATCCGTATTAAAACCCATGGCGAAAAAAAGGGGCAACATAGAGGGATTGCCTTTTCCCTTGGACATGATTCTATTACAGTAGTCGATTTCATCGATTAACCTAGAAAGACACACCATTTCATTTCTTGTTAGTAGGTGGGTCTGCTTGCTGTTCCAATGTCTCTCTGCTGCAAGGAGCAGACAGAAGGCAGCTATCAGGATACTTCAGAACCTATGGGCCGTCTCCTCTTCGAAGGACGAATTGGAGTCAGCCTTGTTTGCCTCGCGGTCTGGCGCTGGTCCTCGCCCGTTCCAAGCTGAAAAGACTTGACTATCGACAGTTCTCATATCAAGTTCTCACATTTGTGGACCCAGCTCCCTGGCTGCCTGATCAGTCCCTGGCTGCCTGCCGCCCGCAACTCTGTCTCGAGCCTTCGAGCCCAAGCTGCCTCCCCTGCTTGGTTCTTTGTGAACCCTGCGCTGGCTGCCCTGAATGCTTCCCTCTACCCTGCTCTGCCGAACTCTGACTGGCTGGCTGCCTCTCAAACTAATTGTCTGTCTGTCTGGCTTGGCTGGTTGCTATCCTCTTGTTCCTATCTACTTCTCATCCATTACGTGGGCGAATCATATATTGCCTTTGGCAAACCAGTCCACTCTCCTGGCTTTGCGCGCAACTCACCACTTAGACTGCCAAACCTTAGACTCCCAAACCCAAGGACCGAATCCCTGAATCCTGGTTCCGGGTTTGGATACCCCTGTGGGGACCCCCTGTGACTTATCAAAGCGACATGGACTTGTTTTGATTCATAGATGGAAGGGGGTCATGGAAGGGGGCGCACAACCGCCAACGAGGGCAACAAGAAACAAACATGCCCTGGGCTCTTGCTTCGCCCCCCAAACAGGAGCAGCACAGGAGCATTGCAATCAGAACTGGCGAAGAAAAAACCATAAAGCCTTTGAATCATGACTCTGACACTGGCACCATTGGCACCATTGGCGTGATTGTTCATTGGGAGAACATGTTCCATTTGTCGTCTTTGGCCAAAGATCACCCCGAAACTGGCTGCAGTGCCTGTAACAAGTCGCCAGTGAAGGAGCTGCTTACTATTCTCTTTCTTCTAAAGGATGTTCGACGACCGGTGTTTAGAATCCATGAAGTTCCAGCTGGTCTGAGCCTAATCAGCCCACCCTCACCGTGCCTGGCCATTCCGCATCAGGGTTGATCCATCCATGAAGCTCTGATGCAAGAACGGTGCACCCCAGCTGGGGCAATCCTGCAGTCGTTTCGCCAAGCATGTGGGTGTTTTTTGTTGGACCTGTCAATCAGATTCTCGAACTTTGCCAAGGGGTATAATTAATTAGACATCTGGAACTAGAGAAAAAACTTAAGGCAGTCTACTTGAAGTCTGAGTGTATGTACCCAGTCTTATGATTGAGGTTGGTCCAAACTCGCAACCATGAAATGTCTCGAAAACGACAAACACAAAGCTGAATGTCCACCGTGTGTAAAGTTTAAACTATGTTTAAACATACTGTCTGATCTCATACAATCTGATCTCTAGCCATTGGTGCTTGAACACTCTCCTACTTACGTTCGCACTTTCGACTTGGATCGTTGGAGCTCGGGCATCGCGCCGCTCCCGGAGCGGTCAGAGCGCTGCGGACCCGCAGCGCGCGGGCTCGTGCGTCGCGTCCGGTACGTTCGTTCGCTGCGCTTCGTCCTCAGGAGAGCAGCCAGTTCCAAAGCTCAAGCAGCTGAAGCCAGCTTGTGCCTCAACATCTTTCGGGTCGAATTTCTTGTGAAACAATGGATTTCCCAAACAGCTGGCGCCTGCCAAAACAGCTGCATGCTGATCCAAAACATGTCTATAGAATTGTCTATAGACTTTAAACGTCGACGTGTTTCCAGAACCAGGTACCGTCCTCCCTACGGCTCCTGTCCAGTCTCCTCGGGTACGGTAGTGGGCGATCCCCCAAAGACCAACCCGAAGCCACCGAAAGAAAGAGTCACGGTGGTGGGCGATTGGAGCCTTATGGGGATTTAGATACTGTCGCAGGTAGATCCCAGGGGGCCAGAGTGTTGTTTGGTCCAATGAGGGCCTTGTCGTTACAACAGGACCTCGCAGCGAACCGTGGTTGAACTGGATCTCCTGGGTTTACCGGGTGGTGTCTCATTTGAAGCTGTGATTGACTAATCGCATTCTTTTTCAGTTGAAGCATGTCGTGGAAAGCCAAGCGCCACATAGGACATGTACACACCGAACCGGTGTTGACTCTCGACTTTGGCTCAAGTGAAAACAGGTCCGACGGACAGGACCACCCTTTTTGCCATAACCACAGGTTATGAGCCCAACTCGCGAGGCCATTTGAGGCCCTTTTTTCCAAGGCCACCCTTGACTGTTTCGTGGACAGCAAGGTTGTTGGTTCCCATGGAGCAGCATCGGTGCCGGCGGATGAGGTCGCGAGAAGACCGTGAAGGTCCCCGTGATCCTGGAGGTGACCGAACCCATTTCTGAACCTAGCCCTGAGGGTTCCCGGGATTTTGCGGTAGAAGTCAGCCATGGTGGAAAGCGGCCGAGACTGGCGGCGATGCCAGCACCGGGAGCATCTTCGAGTTTGGGTTCTCGGCCTAGAAGGGATGAGAATATGCCCTAGACGTGGGGACGATTCACTTTACCGTCGCAGGGTCGAGATCGATGGGACCGTCTACATGGGGGCTGGTGGGTGAGGCATCATGTTCGTCAGAGGGTGAGGCCTTTCCATCCGGTGCATAGACAGACTCCTTTTGAACGCAGTCGAGTTCAGGACCGGAGGATCACAGTGATCTGGTGTCATGGAGAGCGGATGATCCGAGATGATGACTGGCGAACGATGACCCAACCACCAGTGAGGGATGCCTGGGTGGGATACACTTTCTCTCGTGAAGTTCAGCCAGAGTCAGCTCACGGACGCTCACTTCGACATCTAGCTCGTCGACTACCAAGGGCCAAGGAGATCGAACTTCATCGTCTATGAGCAGTTCTTTGACCTCTGGACCACCGCCAATGCCGGGCATTGCGGAGCAGGGAGAAGAAAGGCTATATGAGACGAGGTCCGACTTCAGAGTCAGTGGAGAGCTCATCCAGCTGGAGTTCAATGGCGTTGGCCAGGGGGCAGGACGCTATGGAGCGGGATGTGCGCTTGGGCTACGAGCAGCGATTGCGTGACATTCAGAGTCGGGGTGAAGTCCTGGATTCAGTGGCTTCAAGTCAGCCTGGAAACTCGGGCTACCTTGGTGATGATCAGGGCTATGATCCAGCTACATACTGGTCACACGGCCCTGCAGGGCATGATGGTTCGACTTTGAGTGAGGATGAGCGAGAAGATTGGAAGATTGTCCTTGAGGACATGGCCGGTGAGGCTGAGAGGGCAGACTGGCGGAGAACGCTGGACGACACGGAGAGTGAAGGACATCCTTCATTGGACAGCATCGACCGGAGGAGTACAGAGGGCCGGATGCTCCGAGGACGGGTATGACCGGGCCGGATCCTGATGAGGTGCCGGTGTGGATGGGGATTGCATCCCAGATGCCAGTGACCCGTTCTGGGAGAACCAGCCCATGGGAGAGAGAGAGAGACACTTTGGGATGACCTCACAGCTGAGAGATGAAGACAGCTCTGAGGAAGATGAGGAGGCGGTGAACGTCTGAGGCTGATGACCTGACAGGTCATTTTTTGGCTTGTGTGGCCGAAGCTCGGCCAGGGGCAGCGTGATTGACTAATCGCATTCTTTTTCAGTTGAAGCATGTCGTGGAAAGCCAAGCGCCACATAGGACATGTACACACCGAACCGGTGTTGACTCTCGACTTTGGCTCAAGTGAAAACAGGTCCGACGGACAGGACCACCCTTTTTGCCATAAACACAGAAGCAAACCAAAGGTGAGATGTTTGGTAAGCATGTCCAACCAAAGATTGGTTCGATGCACCTTCTGTTGAGAAGACAGTCTATCAAAAAATGAGGTCGGAGTTCTTTGAGATTACCTCTCTTCAAGCTCAGTGGTTTGAGATGAATTTGCATCCACTACATTACATCTCTATATTTGCACTTCGCTTCTGCTGCATGATCCCTCAAGAAAACTGATTGTGGTCCTCCTGAAACGAAACCCTGCACCATCTGTTGCATGAAAATAGGAACCATATATATGTTATATATTGTGTATGCAACACCAAGTTGGTGCAAAAGAGCAGGCAATTGCAAGTAGAACTCCGGGAAGATGGCAATCACACTATCGAATCCTATCGAAGCCCTGCAGTTGATTAAGTCCTTCATCCTTCGATGAATTAGGCCAACTTTCCCCTGGGTGAAAGAAAATCAAAGACGGTGACCCGGTTTTCACGGTTCGAAGACGCTTCGGATCGAAGACGCGTGGCACGTGTGCGCACGTGTGAGCCCGGTGCGACCGACCACACGGTCGCTACGACGAACAGCCCAACGTGTGTCTCACCTCTGCCAGCCCCGAAGAAACTCTGCGAGGTGTTGATGATTCAAGATGATTCCGAATCGCGTGTGTCATTGAAAAGGACGACTTCAGAGCCGGCTCAATGAACACTTTGAAAAGGACCTCGCTTTTGGGGTCCTTTGAACCCTGTGAGCCTCCGAGTCAAACCATCCAGGGAACGAAAGCAATCTGCGTCTGTCGTTGCGAATCCACGGTGGCTTTCCTCAGTTTCTGTGGCAACGAAGCAGTTGACGTCAGTGATGTCTTCTTGAACTCAACTATATCATGTAGACGTTTGATTGTTTTTCAACCCCCATGTGAAGGGGTTTTATAGTCCAAATAGGGTGATTGATTATATGATTCTTCTCAAGAGTCTACACTAATTATACAGTTGAAACCATGGTCGCTTCTAGTGATTTATGGTGGCCAAGCAGCCGTGTGGTGTTTCTGTTACTTTTTTGTGACTTGTTTGGAGATCCTGTCGACCTCGGCATACCGATTGATGTGCATTCATATCCGTTGATTTGCAACAAATATATATAATAGTGTAATGAATACAAAAATGGCAGAGTCCTGCCGTCCCACGCTCCAAATGCAATAGTACTTTGTTGGGAATCTGCCTACCTTCTTTCCAACAGATATACCCCAAAACCACCGGGTTGGTATTCAGAAAATGGTCGAAGCCACCAGTCCATTCTCAGGTTCCATTCCCAGACCATCAATGTATTTGCCTACATTGGGGTGGCGCCAGGGGGGGGTCAATTGATCGGCATATATATATATATTCCGTATATTCCAGTCCCATGGATGGTCTGGGATTTTCCTCTGCCGGGGGCTTTCCCGGAACCCCGTCCGGCCACTCGGGGGTCGGGCGACAGATGGGCAAAGTCGCAGCGCTCGTGGATGCCTTGGCACGTCTGGTCGCAGGTCTCCGGCTTCGTGGCCACCTGGGGCGCGGATGTGTTGCACACGACAAGGACGTGGGACCCTTGCCTGCTGTGGACTGATGGGACCCAAAATATCAAGCACAGGACCGGAACAGGCAACATAATTCGCAAGGAACTTAGAAAGGAGTTGTGTATAGTAGTAAAGGACTGGCTCACATCAGGTGTTGGTATGTTCATTTTCTCTATGACTAATAGATGAACCGCCGTTGATCAACAACATCTTGCACCACCTCAAATACACCCCAAACTCAGTAATTAAATGGATCTAAATTGTCCAATATCTTGTGAGGGGCCACATGATTCTGCGCCGTCATAACTTACCCCAACATGCAGAGTGAAAGTGCTTGGTCCAGATAGTAATAAATGTTGTGCTTGTCTCAAACCTTAGCAACAATTGTGTTCCGTACTGCCAATCCGGACGGAACAGAGTGCCAGGGACAAAGCCTTTTTCACTGGTAGCGCGCTGTCAAGCCAACCCCAAGAGAAACCCCGAAAATTGAAGAGGATGGTCCACACATGGGTAACCGTATCATGGTTCCGGGATGTTCTGGCATCTGGGTTGACCCCACAAGTGGACCTGTTTCTCCCACACTTGTTCCCACGCCGTCGGAATTCCCTACTTGTGCAGCAGGCCTTTCTCCTAAGCCCTTCCCTTCCGGAAACCGTGCATCTTCGGATCCTTCTTTCGCAACCTCACCGGGGCCAATCGCCCCCAACAAATACCCCGACCGTCTGACGCGTTGCAAGGACGACTTCTCTTCTCGGGTGACGAAACTCCCGGTGGCGGCAGTTACACTCGTTGCACTGCGGCGAGCCACCAACCACTGCGCCCTCTCCAAGGGTGGAGGCTCTATGGATTTGGCCTCCGGAATGCCTCACTCCAAAGTGGTGGAGTAGCCGGCGGAAGCCACAAAATTCCCAGAATCCCGTTTTTTGACTCTGACTTCCATGAACAAAAATCATGGTCATCGAGTTCAACATCCAATGGATTTCATGGGAATAAAGATTATAAGGGATCATATGGGTGTGTAATTTAATAGGTGGCTTCCCAACCAATGAGGTCGTGTAAACCCCCCCTCCCTTTCCCTATACCACTTTTGACGTTATCGTGTTTTTTATGCGTTATCATTTTACAGCACTTTGTGCACTTTGACTAACTGCAACAATTGCAAAATATAATGTGGTATACAGTATACATGTGTGTGTATGCACTGCATGCATGTGGTGTGTGGAACCTTGCAAACATGAAGACATTAGGCTCTCTCTGCTTATCGTGTTTATCGTTGTGTTATCGTTTTCATGCCTGGTGCAAGTTGGAAAACATCTAGCACGACGGACCGCTGTAGCACAAGTTTACAGCGGTCCAAGCTCTCCCGCACCCCGAACCTCTGTCCAAGCTTATACCCATCAACAGTCCTGCATTGACCCTGACAAGTTGGAAAACCATGTGGCAGGACAATTCTGTAGCACAGGGCTAAAGCGGTCCAAGCCCTCCCACCTCCGTCCAAGCATATACCCATCAAGAGCAGTCATGCATTGACACCCTTGACAATTTGGAACAGTGGGGGTTATCGATGTTTAATTCCTTATCGATTTACAGGGGATTGAGCAAGCTTCCGGAAACACGGACATGCGAATACTAATTTCTTACATGGGAGGTCTTATCATCTCTCCAATAGGTTTTGGATTCCTGGGGGTCTTTGGCCCTGGGAGGTCTCCCTATGAGGTCGCTACACACTTGGTTGCGGCCTCATTCTGAAGTGCCTGACAGACTCGTTCCCTGATCCAACAATTCGTTGCTGGAACCGCACACCCAACCGCCTGTTGGTCATGCAACCGCCTGAGTGGGGCCTACAGGAAGGTCTCTTGGAGTCTCTGGTACCCCATCCACCATCATCCGATGGCCTCCACCGATGTTAGTAGCTTCTTTGTTGCTAGATGTTACTAGCAGCTTCTTGTTCCTAGTATTGATGCCAGGAGCTACTAATAGCTTCTTGCTCCGTTCGTAGCGATGCGCTTTGTTACTAGTGGCCGCCTAGCACCAAACAGTTCGCACCAGTTTCCTCCCACCGAAACAAATCGGGTGAACCCTCTGAAAGAACATCTCACCTGGGAATCGGAATCCCATGGTAATTAGTCTGCCACAAGTGGCGAGAGATGGCGAGAGGGGTGCACATTCCACTCAGTTGAACATAATTAGGGTTACGTCATGGTATGTCAAATCGTCCCATTCTCTACATGCCATAGTTGTTGGAAAAACATATCGCACATACGACACACGAGAAAAGAAAGGTGTGTGCTCCGCGACAGGTACATTACATTTCGCAGACTCTTCCCCAATGGAATTGCCACACGCGTCTGCATTTGGATGCTTTTTCTTCACAAAGTGGCACATGTTTGCATTATACGCATGTCATCGTGTTCTCGAATCCGGTTCAGCGTAAGCTGTTTACGCCAAAGTCAGCCAAAGCTGTTGAAGCAGGGACGTCACGCAGAGGATGTCACGCAGGCGACAAATTGGCGTGCGATCAAGACTTGATCAGGGTTTCGACTGAACGAAAACCACTCTGATGCAAGACTATAGGCATGTTGTGCAACAGTATCCCAATCAATATAAGACTGGTTCTTTTCCAAGGAGGCTTCAAGAACGAACAAACTAAGGTCGTCTTGATGGTCCCAACTCAAAGTGTACATGTACTGATCTCAAAGAAGTGCACAAAAAAAGAAAGCACAGCAACACGCAAAAACGCTGAGCCGCAGCCACGACATTGACAAAGGAAGAGCAAACAACATGATACAACATGCTCAGGCATGCTCTGAAGCTTCAGCCGACAGTCACACAGCCGTGTTTTGCGGCTTCAGAAGAAAAGTTACCCTCAAAGAGTTAGCACTAGAGAATCAGGTCTGGTGGAACTCTGGAGCTTGCGTCTCCTGATGCAACTCTGGAGCTTCAGTTGCAGAGTTCGATCATTTTCTTTGCAGTGGCAACATGTGTCAACTACAATCAGGTATCCTCCATGCAGTTGATGTAAAAAAATGAGGACTGGCCCTCGTTTCCAGGTTGGAATCTATAGGTTGGGAGATTGAAGAGAATCACTTAACGTTAAACGTTTTGAAATGGCACCTGGCGCTTCGTTGCACAAGAAAAGTCATACCAAGGCACCCATCTCTTCGAAACCATGCTCGTCTTCGCTGGTGGTCAACTTGCTGGTCGAAACCGTCTTCGTGGACGAACCATACGGTGCCGTAGAGGTATTGGTGACCGTCACGATAGTCGTTGTTGACGTATTTGTCACCTGACGTGATGGCCGGTAAATGAAATAAGCAACCCAAACGCGACCCTGGACCCAAATCCTCTTTCAGAGTAGATGGCACAGGGACCTCCGAGTTTGGTTTATATGGACCCCCATCTAAAAGACATTGCGCCATCTACTCTGAAACCACTGTAAAAGCCCGGGGAGGAGGTCTGGACTCCATCCCCTCTTTGCTCAGTCACCGAGGTCGTTTCGGTGATGGTGCTCGTGGTGCTCGTGGTGCTCGTACTGGTCATGGTGGTCGTCGTGGTGGTCGTCGTCGTCGTGGTGTAGTACAAGGGCCATTTGAACTCCGGCATGCGGACCAACCAGGTGCCTCTGTCCGAACCCACCATCGATTCATTGTAAGCCAGACCACTCCTCAGGACGCTTGGAGCTCGACACTGCCCCTCTCGCTTGGGGCCGGTGTCGTGCCGCGAAGTGGGGCGGAAGGCGGAAGGTCGTTTGGAAGCGTGAGTTGGTGGCGTTCCCGGTGAAGCGTTTGAGGTGGCTCGGATTCAAGTTCTCCCTGCATCCTCGAAAGGTTTCCTTGGCATGGCTGGTATAGGCACGTCATGCCCAGTATCTCAAACAGAATCTGTTCCTGCATGTTCATGCAACAGAGTTGCTATGCCCATCCATGCCCCACTTAGTCACAATGGCAGCAAAGAGTGTTTCGTCATGTCAACCCCCTGTGACCGCACATGTATATCATAATATTTTACAGTAGCCCTATTAGATAGTAAGATATAACATGCAGTTCACTCCTGGGATCTCCCAGGAATCATACTGTAAGTGGATGGCATGGGGGGCCCCAATTGGGCATGACCGCCCCGAGTTTTGCGAAAACCAGTCCCAGCTGGTGCCATCCACATTACGATGAGATACCATGATGGTTCCAAGGATTGTATTTACTCACCATGTTTTATTGGTTGTTCCAAACTAGAGGTCACTCAGGTTCTAGGTCCACACCATACTGCACCACCAGGCTTTGGTCTTCTTGTCAACTGGTTTTTGCGGTGACCCATGGCTGCAGGAGACTTCCAATTGCTTCTCTTTCCAAGACTCATCAGCACACAGTACTCGGCACCCGAGGGCGACTGGAGAAACTGGATGGCACTGCACTCCTGGCGAAACTGCGAGTGAAGCCTTGAACCGGTTGGAGAGTGAGGCCCTTTTAGGACGACCGGACGAACAATCTACATCACAGCTTGCTGCTTTAGTGGATTGAATATGATTGGATTTTACCATATGTCAGATCTCAGGATCCTCCATCTGGTTTGCTCAGAAAACCAGCATCAACCAGCTATGTGCTAGGGCCGCTAGGGCAACCGTCATTGAGTGGAATATCTGGGATAACCCAAGTATATAGGGTAATGCATCTACCGTTTCATCCAACCAATGGGCAGCACGTCCCATTTCTCTTGGAGGGTAAAAACAAGAACCATCGTTCGAACCATTCGACTGTCACGTTACAGGCCCGGCCTGTTTCCTTCGTCATCCAGCAAAACTGGCTGGAACTTTCCGGAAGCGAACGGATTTCGGCGGGTGCGAATGGTGAATGATGGTGGGGGGATTGGTCCATACCGGAAAGCGGTCGGACAACCCACGCTCCACGCTCGGACAAGCCACGCTCCGAAGTCGGCACGTGCCTTCCGTGTGTCTCCACTGGGATGAAAATCGCTGCAGCGCTCGCAACAGTCATCGATGCTGCGGAACCTGGAAATTAGGAAGATTGGCTGCATCGAGGCAGGTTGGAGGCCAAAAGCTTTTAGGTTGGAGGTCATTGCTACTATTACGCATCTAGCGTTCGGACGCTGGGTTGGAGGCGCCGCTCTTAGAACACCGAGCAGGGCCAACGGATCGAATGAGTTGACCTAAGGATTCGGAGACACACTCAGCTGGTGTCATTCGCCCATTCCCCGCATGAACGGCGCGACAGACCAGCTGAGTGCATGCGCGACCATCGGTGTCGGTGTCGGTTCTTCGTGTGTGTGGCCCCACTAATGCCACTCCGCACGGTGCGGGGCACAGTCTTCGTCCGTCGGTGTTGCGCCAAAAGGTCGGGTGAAGCAACGTCGTCAAGTAAGTGCTTTCTGTGCACCATATCTATACGATCCCATATACGGTTGGGATGGGCAATCATGGAGGGTACACAAGGATGAAAGGAACTGCTATAAATGGTTATAAATATATATATATATAGACATTTAAAAAAAATGTTGTTTGCACTGATACACGGTTTTTGCGTTAAGAGTTATAGATTGCATTAGCAAACGTCTTCAAAGCACCCGTTGACTTCTCATGCGCCGCTTGCACTTCTCATTTTCTGCGGCAAACGGTCAGACTGCTCGTGGACCCAATCAAAAACGGTTCAAAACATCTCAACATGTGAGGTGATGTGTTCGACACTGAGACGTGTAGGTGCCAAAACGTCGGGTGATATGTTCGTACCTTCTCAAGGATGGACCGAACATGGAACCAAGCAATGTGTGGTTCCGAAAGCTTTGAAGTAGATCGTTCGTCACGTGTGAAGACGGAGCAACTCGCAAGGAAAGAAACCACTCTGAGCTCGAGTTAGAGGACGGGAGGACCGGAGGACGCCTCACACGTCAGTGAAGCGGAAGGCGCTTACGGTCGCACAGCCGCGGAAGGAAGAGGAATGAGAGTGGATGAGTGCCAAAGGATGAGGGGAGTGTGGGAAAGTACGAGCGAGTGACTGAGATTGAGAGTGAGTGTGTGGGAGTGTGGGAATGATTCAGAGATATTCAGAGTGTGAAAATGTATAAGAGTCATGGGAGTGTAGATGCGTGTGTGAGTGAATGATTTGCTGTGAAGTTGAGTTGGTGAGGAGGAGGCGGAGTCTCAGAGGCGGAGTCTCACGGCATATACAGAAAAAGAAAGAACACCACACAAAGATGCAGGGAAACACACAAACAGTCGGATGAATGTCAAGTAGAGATCTTTCGAAACCTGGAAAGCTCGGGACAATTTGTGAATGTCTTTGACAGCTCTCAAAAATACTTTGAATGTCAGTGAGTGACACTATCAACCTCTTGTATCAACAATGTAGAATCGTGATTGATACAAACACCCACTTGGATTGTAACACCTCTTTACTATTGGGGGAGGCCAATGACACCGCTTGTTCATCAAGCAATCCTCCGAAAAGCGTTCCCGTGCTCGCTCGGCTTCCCGAACCGGCGGCCGAGCAACGAGGCCGGGCCGAGCTCCAAGACTTCCCTGGGCTCCAGCGATGAGGGCTCCGGCTGGCGCTGATAGATCACACAGTGAGAGACCTCGGTGCTTGGACGAACGGAGCGACGTGCGCGCGACGCACGTGGCCCGGTGGCGGCGCGAACGCCGCGCCCAAGCGGAAGCGGGAACGGATCGATCAAATGGCAGGCGAACTGGGGAGGGGCGAACTGGTGGCGAACGAGGCTCTAAAAAGATGTACCTGAGTTACCAAAACGGCAGGCCTGGAGCGAAAGTAGAAGATGTTGCCAGACGCTCATATGCTGCTCATGTTGGTAGATTTAAAATGGTCTCTAATGGTCAGTGGATATTGATTGGCACAGTCTCTCTTTGGAGTTTCAAAGCACGTTCAAGAATACAAGTACTCACAGTGAACGTTCGGGAAGCCGATTGATATGACATGATGCCGGTGAGTCTGCTGGTTCAACATTCATGAAGCCAACGTATATGCCATATCTCTGGTCAGCTTTTTGTCACTGTGCAAGCACTAAATCTGCCAACTCGATGCTCCATGGCTTTCTAAGCACACCAAAGAAAAGCAGCTAAGACTATAAGACAAAAAGACACAAAAATGGTGTTTGACAACCCTCAGTTCCCTTTCTGTCACCCCTTGCTGTCCAACGGCTCCACCCTCAGCAGCACGTAGCAAAAGCTCTGTCAAGTTCATCTCCAGTTGTGTCTGGTTGACCTGCCAAGCCTGGTAACGCCACGTGATCCGGTCACGCGACGGCACGGTCCTTCCGATGGTCGCGAGGCGACCGAGTCCGGGAGTCGTCATCGACCGGGACCGGGACCGGACCAGGGTTGCCCCATTGGAGTCGCCGTCGCGTCCGTTTCCGCTCCCATTCGTTGTAATCAAAAATCATCAAAACAATAACAGCAAAATGATGTCAGTAGCCCCAGCCGGTGAATCCAAAGGTTGTTCTGATGCTGGACTTGACAATCGGGAAGCAAGGGTTTCAAACCGAAGTTGTTCGCATGGATGTGGGTTACATTTGCATTTGCACCAAACGGCCACCTCCAAGCCAAGCGCACCAGACTCTCTTAAGTGAGACGGGAACTCTCCAAAACGAGGGCTTCGTACAAGACTGCCCGCAAAAGTGGACACGGGAAGTCTCCAACATGAGCGGGTCCAGGCCGGGAAGTCTTCAACACACCTCCGAGAACCTTGTCGTCCATTTAAGCGAAGACAGGATCAGTCGATCCTTGGTCTAGTGTAGCTGAACAGCAGTGTCCTCCTGGAATGCTTTTAGTTGCTGAATGTGTTTTTGTTTAAGTTTTGAGATACTCCACCGTCCACGCCGCCGAAGCCTCACCACGCCCACGCGTTTTGAATCAAGTCACGTTGGTCTGGTTGCTGACGGCAAAGTCCTTAAGTCACAGCGAAGTTTTGTGGGATCACTGAGGCATTCAGAAGCGACGGACCCTGACGACCCTGTGGAACCCGGTGGGACTGGATTCGAAGTTCTGCGTCCGAAGCACCTGGCTGTCAACTGCTTGGCTGAAGGGCCTCTTCGTATCCAGCGTCTCCATCACTTCCCTCACGTCTTGCGACACCTAGCGCCACGATCCCGGTCGACCCAATGACGATTAGCTGATTAGCTCGGAATTCGGGTGTGCCATGGAACTTCGGAGAATTGGACAAATCATCAAAAATCAACCGACTATAGTCGGTCCGACGTTATCATCTACTAGTCGGGAATAAGAGTCCTTCGGTCCTTGTCCTGGTATGTCCTGGTTTGGATCCCACCAGTCGTCCACCAGTCGGGCGATTGCAACAAATAGTCAAAAGGTGAAACATCGACACCACGTGACTTGTTACCATCCTCAAGTGACCTATATAGGTGCTTCTCACTTGAGAACGACCTCCGAGCTCGAGAACGACCCTTCTCAAGGTGACCGCCGGAACTGCTCGGGAGGTCCATTCTGTCCGGTATGCCGAGGGTATGCGAATCAGTTTGGAGACCTGCCGACCTGCCGGGAAGGGGGAAACCTAGTCCCCAGAAACAGTTCTGGATGGTTCCCCAGTCCCAGCTACTTGTTTAGGTAAAGGATCTCAAGCAAGTATATTGGGCCAACATGGAACAACCATGTGTTTCTGGTTGGGACTGCTTTTCCAGCAGGTGGTAGTTGCGGCGGTGGTTGGTCAATGTTGGTCACGTTGACATGGTCAGTCTGACTGGATGGCTCAAGTAAATCCCCCAGTCGAAGGACCAAGTGAAACCCGACCTCATCCGACTCCTGAGTCTCCCTGGAAATAAAGGTTAACCTTTTCCTAGCTGTTCTTGTTTAGTGGGGTGTCCCCGATCCCCTACTGCATGTTGAAAGTGACCTGCCACGTACGTGATCCACGTATTTACTTCCTGGCGGACATTCCACCGACCTCATGTTTCGGTCCTCCTTTTGGCAGAAAAAAGATAAACAATCTCCACGGGTCACCCAAAGTCACGCAAGTCACGCTGGAAGAGGAGGAGGAGTTACTCCGGCGAAGCCAAAAGGTGTGGGTGGAACAAGGTTGGTGTTTTTGGGAAAGAGGACCTCCCACCCGGCCTGGGCTGGAAGATCCTGTTTTGTACAAACGAGCAGTTTGCCGAATACGCGAGGACTGCAGCTCGGTACCTTTTCTGGTCAAAGTGCCACTTAGTGCGATCTTGAGGCTTGTCTCCACAATCTTTTGTGATCTTGGGAGCACCTCGGAGCGTGTGTTTTTCTTGATTCATGGGCAAGTTCTCGACATGCGTCCCAACGGCAAGGATCTATTTGCGCTTGACACAACACTCGGTCTCGCGCGTGTTGGGACGCAGTGGCCCTCAGCATCCGATCCTTTTACGTCCGTCAAGATTGCATGCACACAAGCAGCACCGTGGATGATCTCGGTCGCTGTGGTCTATTGGAGTGTAAACTTCCTGCTTCTGAAGTCCGAAGTAGAAAGACAAGGCATGGCTGCACCAGTGCGCGCCAAATCCCCGTGAAAACCATATGCAGCTGTCGCTGCATGATTTGATGGATATGCACCAGCCGATGAATCGAATTCAGATCCTGGTAAAATGCCACTCTCGTCAGAAAACGGCATTTCTGGGAGGGAAAATGAGGGAAAGCAGCACCATTCGCGCTGCTTAACATGCATCCCGGCCTGCATGGGGCGCGCGTTTTCTTGTGTTGGCCCGTTTTGCCATGAACCCACAAGCAAAGCAGATCAAAACCAACAGCGTAAGGCATGCGACACCCTGTGAACCCTGGGTATGCTTGGCTTGGTTGACCTCAGTGCTTGGTTTTGCCGCGCGTCCACTCCCTCCGCCTCTGCAGGGGGACGACGACGCTCTGCGGCTCTGGGGGCACCCCATGGCGTTGTGCAGAAACCCCGCAGAAGCGCCCGGGGGGTGGATATATATATATATATATGTTGTGTCAGGCATTTTGGGGGTGTTAGAGCCGATACAGGCCACACATGTCATAGAGGAAAATGTGAACGGATCTCTTCAACTGGATCTCGGCATCGTATCTTTTCCGAATCTCTTCGACTCCACCACTCCCTTCAGCGCCTCGTCCGTGCGGCTGAAAGGCCTTTTGCTCTTCGCGTTGACGGGAGAAACACCACCGGACACCTGGAAAAACAGCTGACATGCTTGATCTCTGGCAAACTGGACATTTCATGCCATCTCCCACGGTAACTCATATGCTTTCCGATGGTCTTGGACTTTTTGGGAGCACTTGACAAGTGGGTGTGTAGCTCAAACAGGGAGACCTTCCCATTCCGACTTACTAGCTCCAGAAAATGACCCGTCTACCCGAGTGTCTTTTTTTTTTTCGGATATTGTGTTCCTACGTGGGGCGGAAATCGCCCCCCGAAACGGATCAGCTTGGTATAGGGCATGCTCCATCTACCTTATACCTATATTTGGCACTTTGTAAGAGGATCCCGATTTCATAAACTCAAGGAGGATGTTTCAGCATGTTTCTTTTTGTCTATGGGCGGCTGCAACGTTTCTTCCAAGGACGACAGGAGCCAATAGGAACTCCACCCCTTGATCCGGCTTGGGAAGAGCCGCAGCCCGCTACTTTCATAGGTTGAACAGGCAGAATTCCTTCATTCATAGCGACCTATTGTTTTTAGGGGGCTTAAATTTAATGCATGAATACAAATTGGATCAAATTGGTCTTTGCAATCCTTCAACTTGTCTCCAATCCGTTTTTTCCATGGTAAAGTAAAAAGCAATAGCAATGAAAAAAGAGTCTTTGATGGTGTCTCTGGTTTCATGTTTGCCAAGTCATGCAACCTTTGGCAGTGCCATTCAGCTGATTTGTGCCAAAGACCTTTCGAGAGTTGAAGGAAGCAAATCAACCGCTGCTCTGGGCAATGGAACGCCAAGCTGCATTCATGATAGCTGCTGCACCACTGGTGCGATTGGTGCCATTCGCCGCTCCAGCAACCGCTGCCTGGACGAACAATTCAGTTTCTGGATCTGCTGATGATGCATTCTTAGGGCCACAACGAAAAGAATACGAACACCAACTAACCCTGCGCTTGAAGGAGTACCAGAAGTCTGTTCGCAGATTTCCAGTGCGCCAAAAACCGCGGGTGGATCGCGGCTCGACACTCACTTGTTTATTCCCATTGACATTCAATAGGAGGGGTTGTGTCAGCATATGTCAGCCATTTCAGAGATACGGGCCGATGCAGGCCACACATGTCATAGAGGAAAATGTGAACGGATCTCTTCAACTGGATCTCGGCATCGTATCTTTTCCGAATCTCTTCGACTCCACCACTCCCTTCAGCGCCTCGTCCGTGCGGCTGAAAGGCCTTTTGCTCTTCGCGTTGACGGGAGAAACACCACCGGACACCTCGAAACACAGCTGACGTGCTGGATCTCTGAAAAACTGGCCATTTCATGCCATCTCCTACGGTAACTCATATGTTTCCCGATGGTCTTGGACTTTTTGGGAGCACTTGACAAGTGGGTGTGTAGCTCAAACAGGGAGACCTTCCCATTCCGACTTACTTGCTCCAGAAAAATGAACCGACTACCCGAATGTTTTTTTTTTTCGGATATTGTGTTCCTACGTGGGGCGGAAATCGCCACCCGAAACGGATCAGCTTGGTATAGGGCATGCTCCATCTACCTTATACCTATATTTGGCACTTTGTAAGAGGATCCCGATTTCATAAACTCAAGGAGGATGTTTCAGCATGTTTCTTTTTGTCTATGGGCGGCTGCAACGTTTCTTCCAAGGACGAGAGGAGCCAATAGGAACTCCACCCCTTGATCCGGCTTGGGAAAAGCAGCAGCAAATGAACGCCGAGCTGCATTCATGATAGCTGCTGCAACACTGGTGCGATTGGTGCCATTCGCCACTCCAGCAACCGCTGCCTGGACAAGGGATGCAGTTTCTGGATCTGCTGATGATTGTTCTCCGCGCCACAATGAAAGGAATATGAACACCAACTATATCCAACTAACCTGCCTGCTTCTTAAGCGATGTCCTGCTTCTTTAGTGCTCGGGGGAGCAAGGACAAGTAGAAGGCTCTCAATGTCTACACCCACACGTTTGTGTCGTGTTTGCTGGTCCTCCATGGCGTTGCACATGACATGTACAAAAGATTTTAAAGCACTGGCCAACTGTCCGTCCAGAATAGAGTCTTCATGAGATTAACCTGTAACTAAACCTGATGTGTGTGTGTGTGTGTCAATCGCAAGATGATGTCTAAGATGGTGCAACATCAACACCCACACACTCCATGTATGCCATATGCCTACATTGACCCCCCAAAAACCATCCCAACTGATCGGCAGTCCTATGGCAGTCCCATGTGTGCGGCTTCATTTATTTGGTACTAAACTCAAATACACTATCCATTATGTGGGGGCCCTATCTCGTTTAGACTACTTAAGTAGGAGGTCATGTCACAGTATCTCGTTCAGACTACTTTAGTAGCAGCAGATCACACTATCTCGTTCAGACTACTTTAGTGTCATCAAGCAAAAGTATCTCGTTTATATTGGGGCCCTATCTCGTTCACAAGCGAATACTGATGATAGACAAGCAAATAGAGCGTGCCGTAGACTACCTTAGTAAAGCCTAAATAAAAGTGGTTGCTCATGTGTCGTGTCTGGGCCAGGAGATCTTCGCATCCAAGAATGGATCCCCACGATGCCAATCCGTTCCCGCCTCGCAGTGCGTCACCTCAAGTCGGTTTCGACTGGGAAAGAGCTCCCAGTCGAGGTCCCAGGAGGTCCCAGATCGGGAGATCACCCAGTATTTCTGGCTGTTCTTGCTCGGGGTCGATATGATTACAACCATCCTGCTCCTGTGTTTTGTTGAAAACACACCTGCTGGTTGGTGCTTTCAACTCACTTACGAAAAGTATTCGTCAGTGGGTTCAATCATCCCACTGACTACGCTTGAAGAAAAAAATAATCTATCCGAAACCACCAAACCACCACCGTACCAAACGCTTGGTGGTAAGGGGGGAGATCTTCCCATCTCTACCGGTCAACCGGACCGTCGACCGTCACAGATGCGGTTCGGACCCGAGCCGCGTGGTACGGTGGGCCTGATGTTGGGAAGCGACGCGAGGAGACCGAGCTCGCTTCAAAGTGAAGGTCATTTCCTTTTTTCTGGGGGGGGGTGGGGGTTTGGGTTCGGTTCAGGGCTTCTTGGGGTCTTAGGGTTTTGGATGGTTTTGGGGGTTTAGGGTGATGTTTCGATGTTAGGCTTTTCCAATCTTCTTTCCATCGCTAAAAAGAGAGATCCATCCAATGTTTACGCTATACTGGTAGGACCCATCTGACATCTCTCTCCAAGTGGCCGTCACACAGTCCTCGATCTCTTTCGCCAGCGTCGCGGGAGCGCAGGCTGCCCCACCATGTACGGGCTCCTGCGGACAATGAATGGGCTTCCACCGGACTGCCCAAACCGCCGCCGCTGGACTGATCGAGGCGGCAGCTTAAACGAACAGAGAACGGTCCAAGAAACGAACGCCAGGACCATCCTGTCGTCCTCCACCAGAGATCCCTATACGTAGTATTCAGTTGTATAATTAGTCGAACGCCAGGACACCCAAACGGTCGGATGGTCCTGGTATGAGAGTGGATCCAACCAGGACCCATTCGAAACCACCGGACCCGCAGCTTCAGCAGCTTCAGCCACATGGACCCGCCTGGAGGTGCGTTCGTTCCTTGTAGCGTTGCCCCGGTCCACAGGTCGTTGAACACGGTGACCACATGGACCAATCACCAAGCAAACCTTGGATGGAAACTCTCGCACCAAACAATGTGGAGATGGGATGGTGTCTTGAAGGTCAAACTACTCCAACGATATCTTAAAAGGTCATCTCTTTGGGGGACACGAGTGATCCTTCTTTCCACTCGAACCCTGAAAGCGGCACCGCACTTCGGAAAAACATGGGAAGCCGCAGAGTTCTCGGACGGGGAGAAGGCGATTTCACCGACACGACATCTGCGATTTGAGCCTGGTCGAATCGCTTCCAAAAAGACACAAGAGAGGTTGAACAGCCCTAGGGCAGCCCATCCCATATGTACCACTACAGGGTCCTAGTTCTGGTCTCTCAACCTCTGTTCGACACACACACTCTGACATTGTATTCAGTTACACTCAATTCCCAGGTCGAAAATGGTGAGGGAACGGCATGGTGAGAAAGTCAGTTCACTTGAAAAGTTGAACAAGCTGTTTGTGCGTGACTGCAGTGGCAAACTCTCGCGCGGTCGGCTGCAACTCACGAGCGGCTGAGAAATGCGGTGGAAAACCTGTTCATGGGAGGGTATCGTGAAGAAGAACCATGAAACCAACGAACAGCGGAAGGGTGAACCAGTGGAGTCAGTGTGTTCAGCGCAGGTACGTGCAATCTGCGCCCAGATTGCATATCACAGCAAACTTGAAGTGTCTTCGTTGAGCGGTGACTTCAAGAATGCCCACCGCTCCCCTGCTGGTGGAACTTTCCAGTGCGGTAGAAAGCAGTAGTGAAAGTGGGAAGTCAGCAGTGGTGGACCCTTCGCCCAGGGGGTGACGCCGTGATCGGCGCTTTTTCAAAAAACGGTGGCAAGCGAACTGGTTGTGTCCTTTTTGGACATAAAGCCTCACTAGCTCTTCATGTGGAATGTAGTATGTGATGTAGTGGTGTGGTCATGCACATCGAATTAAACTGTTGGAAACTCAGGTCGGATTGCTTGAGCGCATATGTAAGAACATGCAGAAAAATGCAGAAAAATGCAAACGCTGCAAACGCTGCGAACGTCAGTTCCCGTGGTGAGGCCCGGCAGCCGTTGTGGCAGTTAATTCAGTGGTTGTGGAGGTGACTTCCAGTGGAGCTCCTGTGAAAGGTGGTGAGGTCAGTTAGTGCTTGCACGATGAGACAGCGCCCCAATGACGGGGATCACACTCAGCACCCGAGTGGGATGGCTGAGCGAAACACACTCTGACAATTGTATTCAGTTACACTCAATTCCCAGGTCGAAAATGGTGAGGGAACGGCATGGTGAGAAAGTCAGTTCACTTGAAAAGTTGAACAAGCTGTTTGTGCGTGACTGCAGTGGCAAACTCTCGCGCCGTCGGCTGCAACTCACGAGCGGCTGAGAAATGCGGTGGAAAACCTGTTCATGGGAGGGTATCGTGAAGAAGAACCATGAAACCAACGAACAGCGGAAGGGTGAACCAGTGGAGTCAGTGTGTTCAGCGCAGGTACGTGCAATCTGCGCCCAGATTGCATATCACAGCAAACTTGAAGTGTCTTCGTTGAGCGGTGACTTCAAGAATGCCCACCGCTCCCCTGCTGGTGGAACTTTCCAGTGCGGTAGAAAGCAGTAGTGAAAGTGGGAAGTCAGCAGTGGTGGACCCTTTGCCCAGGGGGTGACACACACACACACACACCGTTGGGGTGTTCAGCTCCGTGTTCAGCGAGTCGAATCGCTAGGGCGTCTCTCGGTCACCGATTCACCGATTGGACCGATTCACTCTCGTGAGCCGTCTTTGTCGTGTCGGTGCGCGTCCGTCGTCTCGCTCAGACGTCGGTCGTCGGGCTTGCGGCTTTATGTCGTTGGATACCGACCTGACCTGGACACAGTAGCTCCGTTTGGTCGGGTTCGAGAGGGTCGCTCATGTACGAGCGGAGCGGATCCACGCTGCCTCGTTTGGCGACGAGCCGCAATCTTGAGGGCAGGGAAAGCTATTGCACTCACGATCTTCCTCAGTGATCCCGCGAGAACGGGCGGATCTCTTTGTGAATGAAACTTGTGAATGGTCCGGTGAGCAACCAGGAATGCACTCCTTAAAAATCTTAAAACATCGCTCGGAGGAGGGAAGGAGGGGAGGGAGGGAGGAGGGAGGGTAGATCCAACAGACCAAAGCAGCTTTCAACCAAAGCTGCTTAGCGCAGTTCTCATCACTTCTGTGTTCTGGAGTTTCTAGAAAAATCTAAACAGGTCCTGCGACATGAGAAGCTGGCCTATAGAAATGCCAGAACTACAGGTCACTGTGACCCAATCACTGGACTCACTTTGGAAGGCGGCTTTTTTCGACTGGAACTGATGTAGACTCTAGACTGATGAATCAAACCCCCCATATAAGGGCTTACAATGGTTTACAATCAAGACTCTATAGATCTGCCTTCAAGGACCCTTTTGCAGACAGGGGAACAAAGGCATTGCTCGCTGCAATGAGTCCCTTGCGCCTCTGAGGATTTGCGACCCCAAACTAGGACTGCCTTAATACGACGGGATCCTTACCAACTCCTGTACGAGCACAAGTGTTTTGAAGCTTCTGTACAGGCGCTGAGAAGCAAGCTCCAGCCGTACCCAGCACTTGTGCACAGCAGAGGGACTCCACCCTCAGAAGCTGACAGGCGTGCAATCAAACTGTGCACAACCCGATTGGGCACAAGTTGGCACAAGCTACTTGCTATTGCCAAGTGACCACTGTGTTGGATCAAAAAACACACTCCGAGCTACTAGCAGCTAGGCATCTCGAGAAGCCTCCTCCCAAGAAAAAGCGACAAGAGCATTGGCATCGAAGGGGATCATGACTCGTCCTTCCTATTGAATGTAGCCTCGCCCAAAAAGTCTAGCCGTGTTTGCAGCCAGCCAAAGGAACCATTGCTGTCCAACACAGAAGCCAAGCTTCGGAAAGCCAGAGTAGACAAACAAGAGAAGCAGAATGCTCTGCCCCTTGCAAAGTCTGCATGGATTCGTTTGCTACTTGGCTTGTTCAGAGAAGACTACCACATCAGGCAGCTGCAGTTGGAGTTCACTCGCCTGAACCAACAAAACGAAGGCTTTGAGGAGGCTCAACCACCGACAAAGCCCACGGCTGCAGCTGAGAATCTGACGGCTGAAGAGTAATCATATGAGTGTCTACGTTACTCTGCGTGGGCCCCCACTGCCTGATTGAAGGAACAGCCACAACATCTTGCAGAAGACCAGTTTGCACACTGTTTGCTATGAGCAAAAAAGGACTAAAACCATTCCTACGTGTTCAGAATATCCTGCTTGGGAGCATACTAGCCTACATTGGAATGCACACATTTATATAGGCTCGTTGTGATCCATCTGATAACACATGACACTATCTCATCAGGTTTGCAATTTGCGGTCAACCTCTTGCCTTCTACTGCAGTGCAGTGACCATGCGTGGAAATCATTGCATCACGTCTTTTATTACATTCTTCATCATTCTTCTAAGATCTTCTAACATGTCTTTTGGGATGCCGTAATTACCAAGAATTCTGCAATCACTCAAGTCCTTACCAGCCGTCCTGTCAGACTCTGCCTGAGCACTCTCCAAGCCATGGTGTCTCCTCCACACCCACTCCATGGTGTCTCTGCCACACCCACTGCTCGACCGTGACCGTTTGACCGTTTGTGAGGTGAGTGAATCCAAGTTAGTAGGGCTACTACTGCTTGACCTGACTCCAAAGCCCTTTCTCTGGAAAAATAAAGGCTCATCATGAAGACAATCCCAAAGAAGGTTTGCAGGTTATCCACTGACTGGGTAGGTCACCAATTGAGAGTGTGGCCAATAGTGTCTTGGCCCCCCTGCTGTGGAAGGATATTGATATTGGCACTAAAATGGCCATAGAGTACGGAAAACATCTCCAACAGCAATCTCTCCACATTTGGGATCTGGCTGGAGAGGCTGGATACCCCCCCCGGTCTTAAACGCCAGAGAAAAACACAACAGAACTCTATCAACCTCTCGGCCCAGCAGTCTGTAAACCAGACCTCGCAAAAGTCAGCAATTCCACAAGATTTGTCTGAATTACGCAACCTTGTGACACCTTGCCCAGCAAGACAAGTGTCTACTAGCAGCTCTTCGCAACAATAGGCGCACAACTTTCTGGCTGCCACTGCCTTGTGCGTGTGCTATGTCTCCAAAAAAGCACATCCCTCAGGAAAAATGCGGTCCAAGCGGGAAAATCACGTCCATCACCCTGGTCAGCCATCAGCTTCACCACGTCCCTCACGGGGGGGGAAGTGCTTTGACCTGACAGAACCGCCGAACACGAGAGAAACGCGTGTTCGAGATAGTGAAGGTTCGCCCTGCTTCACCCCTTTCACACGGCGTCGTGAGATTTCAGAGATTTGCAGAGGCTGTCCCAAGACTATTATGGAAAGGTCGACATCCACTGGTTCGGGATTCAGACTAAATGGGAATCCTAGGGTACATACACCATAGAAATGTCAACATACACAGGCATTCGCAAGTCGGCAGTGGCAACCAGTCCAAGCACAGCTGTGAATGCATTGCAGGATGGCAGATTCAATGGCGTGCTGAAACAGGTCTGCAAGTGCAGCTGTTCAAAAAACAATCATCGAAGACAAGCAATGGTTTGCTGAAACAAGCCTCCCCTGCAGAACTGCAGCTGTTGACGAAACATTAATCCATGAATGTGGGATCAAGCACCAGCCTCGAGTACTGTGCTGGAAACTGTGCAATGCAAAATGAACAAGCAACCGCTATCGTAAGATCCACAACACCTTTGCCAGGTATGGGTCTCTGGTTTTCATTATACAAGTAGCAGGCTTCTGCCCGACTGGAACTACATAACATGGAATAACTATGAATAACTCTTCAGTGCATGTTGTAGGTTGGTGAGGTGTTGGGCTAGGTTGGTGAGGTGTTGGGCTAGGTTGATGAGGTGTTGGGCTGGTTGGTGAGGGCTGGTTTACCTGCGCACCTTGTGTCACTGTCTGCTAAGAAAAGTACCTGCGCACTAGACTCGACATGTCGATTGTGACGGGTGCTGCAGTGGTGGTTCAATGGCGCGGTCTCTGGGGAGGATTGCATTCTGTCCGAAAATGGTGTTTTGAGGACCTCTTGAACGTTTGCTACTAAGGTGGAGCCCATCGCTACTAGGGATGCGGACACAGCCCGGTCCCTGATCCGCTCCTTCCCCCCAATGATTTGATGGACGTTCAAGACCATTTGCGAGTGGATCGTACTGTTGATCGTTTCACCTCGGGCAAACCGCAAAGCACCAGACAAACTAGAGACCTCTCTCCGAACACATGCAGTTCACTGCATCGTTAGTCAGAGGGTAGGGTAAGCCCTTCGCACGTGATTTCTTCTTGCGAGATGCACATGTGTGATTTCGGAGATTTGCAACATATGCCGTGCAATTTGAAAGCATGGAAAAAGGTCCTGATTTTGTAGAGTAAAACAGCGCTGGTTCGGGATTCAGACTATTAAACCAATGGTTGGAATCCTAGGGTACATGCACTATAATTACGTAGACAGAGACATGTTACCACCAAAAAAATTTTGCATCTTTTTTGTGTTGCGAAGACCGTGGTTTTCTTGGGCCTTGAGTAGACCGACGTCGCTGGATCCCATCGAAACATCCAGCTCTTGGGAGTCGGATGACGCCGACGGCGGTGTCATGCTGTTCTTATTGGGGTCACAGCTGACACGCCGGTCAAGAGAGAGTCAGTCTGACGTTCGCCTGAGTTAGTTTGCAGTTTTGGTAACCTGGTCATCTGCGATGGGTTCTGTTGCTGGATCACAAGCGCCACACAAAGCATTGGTGTAGTCCTTGATTGAAAAACAATGATTGATTCATCTTGATTCCTTTCCTATATTAGTCAGATGCAGGAGTCCCCTCCCTATGGTTCAAACAGCAAATGATGCAACGACACAAGAACAGTTGTATTGGGATGTGGCTGTGTAGCTCAAAACATAGGTATCTGGTGTGCATGTCACTGTTCAGGTTCGGATTCAGAATGCTGATACTCACTAGAAGCGATTTAGAATCTATAGATGGACTGTCAAGGCTGGGGGATGGATGTCTCAAAATGAAGGGACACAACATGGGACCATCCACTAGGTGGAAAGTACAACAACCCACCCAAGGGTTCTCATTTTGAGATGCATGGCCACGGCCAGGCTAGGCTATGGCTAGGCTTAGAACAACGTGGCCTTGCGATGCCCCCTGTGATGCCCCAACGTCGTCCTCCACATCGCGGTAGAGTGATTTGAATAAAGCAACGTACTCAATTGGAGTTTGTCATGGACATGTCGACCGAATTTTGTGCATATCAAACTGTCGACAGACCTGTCAACACGATTGCAGTCAGAACACCTCAGGCTACATGGCGACCGAAAAGGTTCCACCAATCGGTCTAAAACTTCTTTAAAAAGTCAACAGCCCACAGGGCTATGTCCCCAAGTGAACTAGGGCAGCTAGGGGTCAACATGTAGCATTTTCTTTGATGACTTGGGTCATGTACCATCGCCCGAAGACGTGGGACGAGAGCTGCAATTCCCAAAGGAGATTGCAAACGAAAACCAAGAGCTGCGACCGATGCCGCAGCAGGACGAAAGGCCTGAGGAGTTGCAACCAACAACATGCACCAAAAAACGACAGTAATGAGCTACAGCTATGCAAAACAACCAGTGTTCACACCTTGGCTGTCAATTTCAGCTAAGATCGGGACTCATTGTTCCAGCACCCTGGGACACGTGGTATGTCAAAACAATTGTCCGACCATTTGGCAATGCAAGGATCTTCGGGCATCATACTCACGTCTCTAGTGTTGCGCAGAAGGATCCGCATCCAGTACTGAGTAGGTTGGAGGCCATCGCAAATGGAAATTTACCCAGCAAAATTTACCCAGTGATGGCTCTGGGTCATGCACCAGGTTGCCCTGTTGACGGTCGCCTGACCTCGACTTAGTCTATTCGGATTGCCCACC